ATATAATAATATAACAATAATAACAATAACAATAATAATAACACTGGGTATCTAAAAGGACCTATTTATAGCCCTGACACCAGCTCAAGAATAGCGCCTATCCACGCTCTACAGCAAGCCGTTGGTGCTTTACAACTATGTACAAGAATGTATCTCATCTGATAACTGCCAACACCACCAGGCTCCTGTTCCTTTTCACTTGTCATATTCTTTGGCTTACCTTTTCTCCTCTTTAACGAGATGGCCAACAACAGATGGAACTTCTTAGACACTATTCAGCTCAGAATACGTGCCATCAAACCGCTCTGCTGATCACAAATTATCGCTGACCATTAAATGGCCGCCGAATTATTTTTTTTATTACTTTCCATTAACAAACCACCAGTTTGTATCTTTATATACTTTATCTCATCATAGCAACCTCAGCAATCTTCGAGGTTGGGGGAGGGGCGGGGAGAAAAAGATCTTCGGGACGATGTTTAAAACGTGCTCACAAAAAAAATTGAACGCAGGCAAGTTTCGTGCACATTTTAAAGAGGAGAGGTTGTGGTCATACCGGCAAATAAGCAATTCCTTTTAACAATGTTCATCACAGGAAGATAGGCTTTTCAATTCTTTAAATGATATCTTGACAGCAGCCATGGGAAATGAAGACAGCTTCCGCATACTAGAAACGTTTATCTTTATAAGGCACAATTGCTGGAGAGTTTAGCTGTTTCAGTAAATCGCATAAAAGGAAGTTACCATTACCTGACACATGAAAACTCACATTACGCACCAATTTTTTTGCTCCAGTCCACTTTTGTGTCTATATACGAACACAGGAACTTATAAAATAAGATAAATATTTTTTCAAGCATGTGACATCATGAATATCTAACTGACATCGTGGCATACAATATAACTGTCTCAGTTTAACTTACGCCTTCTTCCATCCATGCTATACCAAAGTGGATTATATTCTTCTTTGATATAACACAAAATTGAATTTACTTTTCCTAGGAATTAATAGTCCAAAGTAAGACATAATCAAGAGACGGGGTTCTAGGGGGACGTTTGGGCAGCGGGCAGTAATAATCCTTACGATCAAAACACCTGTCTAGAGAGTAGCTTGTCGGCGTCCGTCCCTTGACTGACCAGTGGCTCTCTTGGCGGCCAGACCTCTTCCTGTCAGATTATTGCCTTTTTGGATTAGTTTCTTGGTGTGATAAAGGTTTGACACGCCGTTTTAAACACAATAGAGGTTTATAAGGAATGTTTCCTCTGAGCAGACGTCTATCGCTATCAGAAACATGAGACTGGGAAGTGAAACCTCACGAAAACTTCCCAAAGTTCATCAAGTTAAATTATTGTCCTGTAGGAGATTGAAAACGTAACCGCATGTATGGCTTTTAAGCAAGATGCTAACCATTGGCTTTCCTCGCATTGGTAAGGCATTTCTCATTGTAGCAGGTCCTAGTGTTGTTACTTTTGATAATGTTTTAGTTATTCTTGCTGTTTGTGTGGCTGGTGATCTTATTGCTGTTACTGTGATTATTGTCATTGTTAGTGTTGCTATCGCTGCTTTCAATGTTGTTGCTATTGTTGTTGTTGTTGTTGTTGTTGTTGTTGTTGTTGTTGTTGTTGTTGTGGTGGTGGTGGTGGTTAGTGTTGATGTTGTTGTCATGTTGTTCTTACCACTGTTTGTCACACAGAGCTACTGGGTTTTTTTTGTTGCTACTTCTATTGTTGTTGTTATTGTTACTGTTTTTGCTCTAGTTACTGGTGCTAACACCTGCATCATGCCACATCATCTATTCTAGTGGTTTTCATTTATATGAAATAGCATCACTGTCGCACGAACATAATATGAAAGTCACGATAAACAGGTTACGACGTTAAGGTTAAGACAGAGTTCTTACCGTTTCCACAACAATGTCACCTTCTTTGAGCAATACTTCAACAGAAACCCCTGTAGAGATTACGACAAAGCAGTTAGTTCGTGTGTTTCTTTGAGAAAAAGATAGAAATACAAACACACTAAATTCCTCAGTTCAGGGCATAACAGACCATCACATAATTAAGAGCTAAGTGGGGCATTTGAGAAAAAAAACATGTACGCTGTTTGGCTATGGAATTTGCTTTTGAAAATCCTGTAGTGAATTATAATTTGGTTTGATTGCAAACAATTTGAAACATAATAGTCCATAGTAATCACTTTGCAAAAAAAGTTCCATCTAGAAAAGCCAAAAGCATAAAAAATGGTGAAAGTGAAAGTATATGTGTGCGTGTGTTTGTGTGCATAAGAGTATGTGATATGTCTATAATATGTGTTTGTGAGTGCGTTTGTATGTATGTATGTATGTATGTATGTATGTATGTATGTATGTATGT